GACACCGGACTGGGCTGCGCTCCCGGGCAAACGTCACGACAGGCCTTGATGCAGGAGCCGGGAGAAGAGGGATTGTCCTGGGCACTGCCAGCGACCCAGGCAGCACTCGGGGGTGTCGAGGGAGGCGCGTGCCGCCCATTTCAAGCCACTGCTCTTCCCAGAGCTCTCCCAGGATCCTCAGGCTGGGGGCCGGAGGAGCCRTCGGGACAAAGCCACGTCCCAGACCTGTCTCCATGAGGCCCTGGGCTCCACAACGCGGCACAGCTTCCCACGAGCCCCCAAGGCCAGCGCTGCCCGCGGGCCCGGCTGCCGCGAGGCCCCCAGCGCCCCACGCTGCCGCCCACAAAATGGCGCTGCCGCCCACAAAATGGCACCGCCTGCGGCAGAGTGAGGAGCTGCCGGCAGCACTGTTGCCATGACAGCACTCAGTGCAGCCCTCCTATTGGTTGTTTTGCGTGAGAAGGCGGGGAGAGATCTGAGCGATGGCTCTCTCAGCCAATCAGCGTCATGAGGTGAATCGGGGAGGGGCTGATAGGGCCGCAGCGGTCCCGGTGTGGGGAAGGGAAAAGGAAGCGGAGCCCAAATGTCCCAAAATTGGGAATTTCAGCCTGGCCATTGGGATGAGGAAACAGGACTTGAAGGCTAAAGCTGCGGTGCAGGAGGCCAGGCGTGAGGAGGCCAGGATCATCCCTGCCCGCCAAGGGCACTGCCGGAGCCCAGGCAGCCCAAAGGAGGTCGGCATCCTCCTGGCCGCGGCTGCTGGATCGGCCACCGACGCCTCGCAGGAGACACCAGGGCCTCCCCGTTCCCTTGCCCACAGCCTGCAAGGGCTCACAGCACTGCCCTGCGCTGAGCACTGCACACCCCAGCCCACACACTGTCCCCAGGAGGGCCTGGGAAAGCTCTGACCAGCCCTGTCTCTCCCTTTTATTTCCATCAAGGCTTGCATGGCAAATTGGAGAGGTTTCAGGAGTGCAGCTGAAAGSGGGGGACATCCATAATGCACAAGAATTTCTGCCTTTCAAGGCTTTTCTTGTTTTTACGAATATTCAGCTTTCCGAGTAAGTGAGAGCAACATCCCCCAATCCGGAGGCATCCAGAGCGGCTCCCAGGGCAGTGTGGACATGCAGGAAGAGCAGGTCCCGGAGCTCGGGCCCTGTATGGACACTCTTCCCTRCCCCTGCCCMACCTGCCATTTCTCTCCTCACCCCCTGGCACTTCCAGCACTCCTCTTGGAAGCTTCCCTATTGCTCTGAAGGCAGCAGCAGAGGAGCCCGTGAATGTGCCCAAGTGCCAACTGCTTTCCTTAGAGAACTGGTTGGAAGTAGACACGGGAGACTTTTCTGGACTGCAAAGAACCAAAAGCAAAGCATGAATAGTTGCAGAAAATGGAATGACGCTGTTTGAGTGTGGGCGAAGGCCGAGATGCCAGCGACACGAGGGGGCCCCGCTGGGACAGGGACACGAGGAGCCTGTGGGCCGGGATTGCAGCCCGAGCTCCGCACATGGCAGTCGCTCCCGCACGGAAAGGGCAGCTCCAGCAGCTCRCYGGCCTGGCCTGGCCTTCCCAAAACGCACGAAGCCCCCACGGGCTGCTTGGAGCCGCGAGAGCCGTCCCACGGCTGGGGCCGCTGTACCGTGACTGCGGGAGCCTGCAGTGGGGTTGGGGATTTGGGGGGATTTGGGGCCTTTTGGAGGCTTTTGCAGCCCGGAGCTCGACCAGGGCTGCCCCGAGCGTCTCCTGTGGCCGAGCGACCCCCGGGGGCTCCGTCCCGCTGCCTCCCGGGATGCTCCCTCCCTGCGGCCCTTGGTCCCCCGCTGCCTTTGGCCTTTTCCCTGCACCGGGAACGGATCCCAGATGTTCCAGGGGGTTGTGTGGGGGCAGAGGGCTGTGGAGGGGCATTGGGGAGCTCGTGGTTATTGTCCCGGGGGTCCCGGGGGGCTCGTGGTTGTTGCTGCAGGGGGGCTGCACAGGGGGGTCCCCTGGGGCTGCCCTGGGGGTTCCCGGGGGACGGTGCCGGGTGCTGCTGCCGCCCCCGCAGCGGGTCCGTGTCCAACGCCTGCTCATGGTGGGTGGCACCTGGCGCGGGGCCAGGGGGGTCGCGGCCATGGCGAGGCTGCGTTTGGGGACAGCGCGAGCGGCGTCGCCCCCGCGTCCCCGTGCGCGGCAGGCGGAGGAGCCGCCGGAGGCCGTGGGGTCCTGGGCTGCTCCCGCGACGGCAGCGACGGCACCAGCGTCGCCCTCGTGGACGAGACCGACATCCCTGTTGTGGCCGGCAGCCACGTCCCCGTCATGGACGGCAGCGACACCCCCGTCACAGATGGTACCAGYGTCCCCGTYGTGGAGAGCGTCAGTGTCCCCATCATGGACGGAATCAATGTCCCCACTCTGGGCGGCTGCAACATCCCCATCATGGATGGAATCAGCATCCTTGCTGTGGATGGCATCAACAATCTTTTTTTCCTGTTTTTTTTT